TTACTGGCTGACCTGTGCAGCCTGGTCCAATTCAGCCAGTTCTAGACATAATCAAGATCATGCAAATATTGCAGAGGACTCCATAGTTACTGTTAGAAACGGAAGTTGATTTCTACGCCAAGTCCCTTATATCATCCACAAAAAATGAATTGCGATCGATCTGAACTCCTGAGAGAAAAATTCCCCTGAGTTTTGATTAAGTTTGACAAAGAGACCCAGCTGAGTCAAACTCAGTTTGAAATTTAAGTTTAAAGTTGTTTTTTTTACACGAAATCAAGGCCAGGGACCCGATCGACAAAGCGTTCGTTGCGCATGGATAATGCTCATACACGGGATCATGATCAACTGTCCGATTATATTTAACATCTGTTCATTTTCATCACATCTGTTGAGATGTCATGCCCTTTCTTTTTGTAAGCGTTGTCCGAGTCGTGGCTTTCGTTACTGATGTAGAAGGCAGGTTTCTCCTCGCCTCTCGCACCCGGTCGATAAACTGTAATAAAACAAAAGTCGATGTGATGAAAGACGCGAGAGACAGACAGTACAAGTCAATAAAGTTAACAGTGGGGCAGATAAGGGGGTGTATGGTTGTGATGATTTACAAACTGATCATCTGTTGACCCGACCCAGTATATGTTTAGTCCCCCACCCCCCTCTCCGATCATACCTATCCAGTAAGTGAGTGAGTGACTTAGGTTTTAAGCCCTTTTTACAGTAAAGTGAGCAGGAGTAATAATTCTTCGGTTCGAACACGTGATTATCGGATCCTGCTGCACGATGAACTCGACAGACCATCAGGGTGCTATACAGAACCATATAGAAGACGATTTACATATAGGCTTTACCATATAGAGGGAGACTATTGTCTTTATATAATGGTGGCATAACGGTTAGTGTGTTCGCCTGAAGAATGTGAGAGGATCGTGGGTTTGAGTCTTACCTGCATTCCCTTGAGGGCTGAGAATCCCATGTAGAAGAATACGCCATACAACACTGGCATAGGGATAACCTGCAATACAAATAGAAACACATTGTACCAATGTCAGTTATCGAACTCGGGGTTGGCGTGACGAGTTAAAGCTTTAACCACTTGACTACCTCACAGCTCTGAACCCCTATGCTCATGTTGGCTGATGACACGGCGACCGTTCATGCATGTCGACCTACAATTGCCTGGGTTACAAATTGTGAACCTCACATTAGACATGGAAGGATATGGACCTATTCAAATGGAGAAATTACAAATCTGGGACCCGTTTCACAAAGCAATCGTAGCGCTACGACTGTCGTAAGTCTATGTAAAAGTATGGGAGTTACGCTTTCTTTAGCGATACGATCGCTTTGTGAAACGGGACCCAAATTCGTTGATGAAAGTAATCACCGATACTGAGAACGAGCGAGATATGATTCTCAATTTACCTTCAGGACGTTAGTAATAAGTACAGCCAAGCCACTGAGGATTCCAACAAGAAGAGCGGTGAATCTTTGTTCTCTGAAAACAAACAGAGGGCGTTGATGAGAATGACCTGATGATGTAGACAGAATAGCGATATAAGTAGCACCAAAACGCCCGGGGCTGTCAACCCTGATGGCCTATCGATAACGAACACATTGAATTTCTTTGAAGTTTAGTTCAGACGAATTTAAACTCTCCACAAATACTTTTCATTTTCATGCGTATTTGCTCGGTCATCGAGCTAACAGTGTTTATGAGATAAAGCGATACTAATAGTGTTCTGATTTATTCTTACAGCAGCGCATGCCAACATCTCATATAAATAAGCTTGTGTGTATGTACGTAACAGGCAAGAGATGAAATGTGTGTTAAATATGTATCTGTTTCATCATGACATCCATCAAAAGGTGTTCATTTCATCTCTAGTGATTTATGATCTGCATCAACATGGCCAGCTTAATAACTTCCAACACAGCAATAATTTATTACTTGACTCTTTAATCACGTGCAACCAGTGTTATCTTGTGTATTTGCCGTCTTGACGGAACAGCTGATTTTGTGAGTGTTTATAACGAAATGGAGGCGGGCTGGGTGTCTGCTAGGAATTTATGACCGTGTAGATCACATAACAACATAACTTTGATCTCGAAACTTAAACAGATGAATAAATGTATTAGGTTAGCAGCGCATTAGGATAGTTTGTCCAAACAAAGAGAACTAGTTGTCCACAAGTTGTGTCCCATGATGAACCATAATCGATTTCCAATAGTGGTGGCATACATTAATATTATATAACCCTCATGTAACTATCCGTGTCGACCAGATTAACGATTCAGGACTAGGAACAATGCCACTATTTGTACATTTAATTTGCTAACAGTTATCACTAGGACTACAGGGTGCCGATTTAACGGGATGTTAGACTTTTCTGATGAGGAATTTGTACAGTAACACTGCTTGTTTTGAACGTGCATGTACTGTAGTCAAAGGTTAAATTAATCGTATTGGATTAATTTTCATTGGTAAAATGTTTGATACAAGTTGTAAAATGGGTACCCGGGGAGGGGGAGGACACAGTGACACACTCGGGGGGTGAAGTTCCCGGAGGGGTGGAGTTGGACAGGGGCTTCTTCAGAGCCAATCTCCGCTAATTTTAGGAAAGCTTCGTATATGAACATAAGCGCTATAAGACAGGCGAAACTCTCCTCGGTGAAGCGAGTTTCTTTTGTCAATTTGCGGATAGTGATTAATATTACCTCAGGGTATATAATCAGCCTGTCACTGATGGAGAGTGTAAGAAGCCGTAAGATACGCGAAGGTTCTACGTACTTGCAGATATCGTATATGATGTTCTGGGGTTGACCTGCGAATAACGCAAATGCTATTCCCGTCACAGCGGCGGCAAAGATACACTCCATCACTCCCTGGAAAGAGCAGAGTTTGGTTAACATCAACAGAATTCATAACTAAGAACAATATATTATACAACAATACAACAGGTGTTTCCAAGTGCTAGACATCTAGTTTCTCCTTCAGGACCTCATAGAGTCAAAACGTCATGCAATCATTACCTCATTATCTCAACATCATGCATTAACAAATGTATTGTGATGTCAGTGGTAGTTCGAGTAAGTCTCTCAGTTAATATTATGTCTGCGTTTAGAAGATTTGGACAATTTTGTCGTCACTTGTGAGAAGTACAGTTGTTTGGGGCAGAATGCCCGTGCTTGCTGAGGATGTGGAAAGCGAGTAAGTGAGTGAGTTTAGTTTTACGCTGCACTCAGCAATATTCCAGCTGATGATGTGGACCCTACCATGTACTGGTTGGTGGACTTTCCTAACATTCCACCGAAGGTGACGTTCGGGGTGAGGGTGGCGAGGAAGATGTAGATGAAAGAAGCGATACACTGGATGTGGATGGCGTCTTTGAAGTCGCTCAGGTAGAACGGAACCTTCCTGCGGATGTCACGGATAAGCCCGAGGAAAGGCCTGGAAGGAAGCAGAAGAGGTTATCTCTCACATGACGTGGGCGATAAATGGTGGTAAAGAGATAGGATGTTTTAATGTTGTTGTTGTTGTTGTTGTTGTTGTTACAGATTACAATCAGGTTATTGTCAGATTTTAGCATTCGTCACCACTCGCCCCTTTCCGTAACCTGCAAGAAGACTCGTCCCCCTCTCGATGCTTGTTATGTGCGAAAATACGACAAACCAATCAGAACGCGCGTAAATGACTGCGGTGCTTTGGTAAAAATAATCCTGAGTACTTAAATCGTTTATGGCATTATGTCATTGTTTAAAAAATCATGAAAAATATATATCGTCATATTGAAAGTACAAAGAACTTAGCTAACAGGATTTTGCTGCCTATTATGGTGTTTTTGATAAGAATCATGCGATTGACGGTGAGAGATTCAAATACACGCACGTGCGTTTGTTGACATAACGGCTCTCATGGGTCCAACTGAGGGTGTTTCTGACGATCTTGCGGGCTTGCTATGGAGATTGTACGTGCGCTTCCAACAATTTTAGGAAATGTAATTATAAATCGCTACGAGTTTCAAAACAATAATATTATATCTGTATGTAACTAATCAACTTTAATCTTTAACATTGGGCATATATTTCAATTCTCTGGGAATATTTTAGTCTGACCTTCTTGTGGTCATTCATATATTTTTCAGCGAATTCAGTTAAAAGTCCACTTGTGGTATGACAGCAAGGTTACACGTATGTTCAGTTTGAGAAATATTATAAAAGTCATTTTTTGAGTTTCTGCTTTGGGATTTAATGTAGCGGGTTTTTTTTACAAATTTTATTTGCATATTCAATAAAACAAATCCCATTTGTGATTATTAAACCCTTTTCAGAAATATAATTGGAAATATAAGGTGAATATCTGGTAATAATTACGTCAGAATATGTCTTTAACAAATATGTTTTTTCTTTCTTTTAGTTGTACCAAGGAGGTTTAATTCTTTAGAATAAATAGCAAAAACAAAAACAGCAATACAATGTATGAGTACTTCGGTGATATTAAGTACCATTGGAATCAAACAGGAATAGAGTTATCGTTCCTGTTTGAAGTAGTTCTGATGTTCCTACGCCAATATGAAATCCTTCCAGAGGGGCACGAGTCGCTATTCGGCTTGTCCCGGAATAACACGAGTTGGTCACGAATGCTTCCAATTGGGAGGATTCGCTCGTTCTGTTTGTTTCTTGGTGTAGTTGCCTGGGAGTCGCCGAACCCGGGCCTACATCTACTGGGCCTGTTCCCCACCGCCTCAATACATGCTGGATATGAAACACAGGGTAACCTTAAAGGCGGTCCAAAGTGTTATTCCAGCTATGTTACCACTGCACGTGATCAGTTCTCATCTTGACAGAGTGCTAGGACTATTATAACCCAGAATCATTGCTTAATCATGGTTTGGACTCTCTGGATATTCCAGGTCATGAGTCTATTTTGTGTGGACTTGTGTCACTTAATGATGATTTGGAATCTGTTCCAATAGGTACAATAATGACTTACTGTTGGTTGACGCTGCTCGGTTCATGTCGCCCCTGATCTTCTTCTTCTCTCCCTTCTCGGCGCCATGTCGATGTTGCTTTAGCAGTAACGTCCGCAGTTGTTGACGGAGAAGTGGGTCAAGCTGACCTAGTTTTATCCACTCGTCGAGAAACTTTTCTGCAATTAATGGGAATATAGATCATCAAGAGGAACCAAGAGCAGCAGACACTGCTCCACGATTGTTGCCCAAATCAAGTTTTAGTAGTTTATGTGTAATTAGGGTAATGTTTGATCATTATACACGATAGCTGTTATTTCAAAGTCTAAAAAAGATGTCTTCGGGATTTGAATATTTAATTTTCCCCAGAACCCAGACCCGTTTTAATCTTTATCCCGTTGGTAGTATCGTGTATTATCTCCCTATGGCCAGTTACTACAGATGCTGAGAGTGTATGGGTCAGTTCAACAACTGACGTGACGACGTACAGACGACTTGCGAGATGGAGTAGGCCTCGGTATCGAGGTGCATGACGCTGTCCATCAACTGCCTCCTAATTTCAACAAGATGGTGCATGGATAATGATGCCACATAGGGCTTGCATCAGCGTTCTCCCCCATCCTCCATCTTCTCCTCGTACTTGACCCATCTAAAACAGTCACCATGGTTACAAGATGGACAAGGTAGCGCGAAACGTATGATTGGGAATCGAAACACAGGATTCATCTAGGTGTTTTATACCAAAGAAGCATCTAAGCCTCACATTAACATTAACTGAATCGTGTGTAGTTACTTTTAACCCAGTAATTATGTCAGCAAGCATCACTGTCTTACTATGTCTAGTTTGGTGCTTCTTAGTCTAGATGTTTGTCTCAGCTCACCTCGCTACTTCTCTCTACTCTCCCCGTTTCTTGAGCACGTCCATCTCGGAGAAGACTTTGTGTGCCCGATGTTTGATGTCGGTTACACTGTTGAGGAGTTCCTGGATGCGCTCGGAAGGGACGTAGTCATCGTCGCCGTACAGAGTGAACTTGGAACCTTCGGCTGAATATTGAAACATATATATTATCACCTCTTACGCTTGTCGTCATGATCTGTGAAGCTATTTAGTAGATAAGTTAACCGTGTAATATACTGACATGGCGTTGTTCTAACACCTCACCGGACGCGTTGGACACCTTAGGAAAATGGGGCATTGGGCTAGGCAGGTGATTAACACGTTCGCCTTTCGTGCTGAACCCCGGAATCGATTCCCCACACCAGCACAACGTGTGAAAACTCATTTCTGAATTTTCCTCGTCGTGATATTGCTGGAATATTGTTATATGCGGCGTTAAATTTTACCAACTCATTATATTATGGTAATCTGGTGTCCTGTTATTGATAGGTCAAATGGTGGTCGAAATGTTCGTGGATGCGCTGGGTGCGGGTTCGAAGCTAAGGATTACCCCGATACCTCACAGACACAATCGAACCGTTTTCATGATCCCATTAAAGTGGTAAGCGGAAACCATAAATGACTGTGACTGTACGACTTAATACTGTTGAAGCGGCGATGTTCCAAATTGACTCACAAATTCTACCGTTGCCAAAATTCTATAGCCGACATTATATCGTCTACTTACGCATGATATCCTCCTCGTCTTCTTCCACGAGAGTAGGCCGGATAGGCTTGTGTGGGGCTACGACGTTCAGATACATCGACGTACTCCTCTTGAACACTACAACAGAGAACCGCCATTTGTTGACGTCACCAGATGAGCAGGAGCCGCTTGTACGGCTCACCCGATTTACAGGACATAAGGGACGTACTTTCATGTAAGGACCAGTATTTACACACGACGCATCTATTATTCGTTATTATTATATATAATTACATTTTGCGTAATTCTTATGTTTTAGTGAATTGTTCTGAAATACATCTTCTGCATGTGTATAGGACAGAAAGGATGTATTTTCATGGAGGTACCAGCTCTTACAAGGTCGTTTCTGTCATTCTAGGATTCTTATTTTTTTACGAATTGGTTCTTAATCACGGATGCGGATATACGAGTACATTAAAGGCGACCATCTCACTCAGAGGTCACAGATATTTCAAGGTCAATGTCAAATTGATCATTAAGGAAATCCTACGACGGAAAATGTCCAAAATGTTAACACTGAAAGACTAAGATATTGAACCGAGAGCTATGTAATCAGCTGCAGATGGTTGATAGTACAGTGAGAGAAAGAAGTCGCTAAGGATTTGTTTATGACATGCTTCAGGCAACCTACATCGCCACCTAGAGGTCATGAGCGCGTGACCACGGCGTCCGTAACTTGTGTTTGTGTGTTAATGATTTGCTCAAGAGTAAGGGGGGTGTTTTCTCAGGGAGTTTAGACTCCAAATTGGTGAACGTTCTCCATTAAGACTCCAAATTGGTAATGTTCCCATTAATACCAAATGCAAGTTAATGCATAATTCATTTTTCTTCAAACTTGATAAACTAAAATAAAACTCTATTTGGAGTGATCATATTGGGATTGGGATTCCACGATCAATAGTTATCTGTCTTATACTGACACGGATCGAACTGTGTCAATGACCTACCTATGCCTCCGGGCACTTTAACCACGATCACTGCCGAATCACGCCTCAAAGCGATATCTTTGTTCTCGGTTCCCATGGTGATAGAAGTCTTGCTAAAATACACGTACTGGAACGACAAAAATAGAAATTAAATGTTTTATCATTAAAAAGTTTTAACGAAATACAGAATGGAGAACGCTTCATCTTTAAAGTACCGCTTCTTGCAATAATGTGTTGAACCTGTGCGCACATGTGACCCCAGTTCAGATAATTTGGAGTTTGTGGAAAGTGTTCGAGCCATTTTTAAAGAGCACAGAGTACTTACATTAAAGTGAATTTTCATTTGCATCATTTTCCTTGAGATAACCATGGGTTATACATATGTGCAGTACGTACCGGTTTTATCACAGGTCGGCAACACATGTTTGGTCGGCTGGTTTGTTGTTTAACGCCGAACTCAGCAATATCCCAGCTATATGGCGGCGGTCTGTAAATAATCGAGTCTGGACCCAGATAATCCTGTGATCAACATCATGAGCCTCGATCTACACAATTGGGATACGTTGACATGTGTCGACCAAGTCAGCGAGCCTGACTACCCGATCCCGTTAGTCGACTCTTACGACAAGCATGGGTTACTGAATATCAATTCTAACCCTGATCTTCACAATTTGAGAATAGTGCCAAGTGAATCTACTGATACCTTTAGGGGCAGTGGGGTAGCCTAGTGGTTAAAGCGATTAAACTCGTCACGCTTCGAAGACCCGGATTCGATTCCCCCATGGGTACAATATATGAAGCCCATTTCTGGTGCCCCACGCTGTGATATTGCTGGAATATTGCTAAAAGCGGCGTCAAACTTAAACTCACCACTACTAGTTGAGGGATGTTCAGTATGAACTTTGTAGTATGACACCTAACGCGCTTAGTATCACGAGTTAATACTCGAACTTACCAAATAGACATGACTACATTCTACATTGTCATCGTATATACGATAATATGATACTTGTTTTACATCCTGAGCACTCGTACTTATCTTCTAAACATGAATGACATGTCTTAATGGATGATCAACTTTTTATTGTCCAAAAGCGACGTTTCGGTATAGATACTTTAAACCGTTTCATAAGAAGAGTAAGATTGTTTTATGGATAACTTGGCACAACATTATATATGATGCGACGTTTCGGTATGGATTCTTATACCGTTGTCAAGCAAAGTGAAGTACTGCAGCTTTGAGAACAGACTTATATACATCAACAGAGATTCAGTAATAACAACATGTAGGACTGAATGAGGGGGATTAACAACAACAACAAGGCAAGGTGGTAATAATGTAGTGACAATAGGAAGCCAATGGTCCTAGAGGCAGAAACAAAATATACATGGCTGATGAGATTAATTAGCAATGGTAGCTGGAGTGCTCTAATCTGTTGTTTTTATCAGTTCATTGTATGCAGAAGGGAATAGTTCAACGGATATGTTTAATAAGTTTATTGACATGTTACATGTTGATATTGATAAAGCATTTGATATTCTACAGTGTATATTTCAAACATGAGGAAGTGAAATGATAATGTATTCAACCGAATTCTATTCCTGCTAAAGGACAGCCCGATTAGTTTGATGAGCAATGTCGTACTCTCAAGAGAGAAAAATGCAGATGTCTAAATATGTTTAGAAAACAGTCCGGTAAAGAAAACTATAACCGGTATAAGTGCAGCAGAAATAACTTTAAATACCTGTAGAGCCAAGAAAGAGCGTTATAAACATTCAATAATTCAAGCTGTACATGATACGGCAAACTCCAGTGACTGTACTGTGTTTTGGCGTCTTGTGAAAAAGTATATTACAAATCGTTCATCTGAGTCTGTCAACTGCCCTTCAGTATGGCCTGATTACTTCAAGAACTTATTAAATCCTAAACAACCTGATGATGGCAGAGGACATCAAAGCTTACTTAAACAATCATGACTGTAATACATGTACAGAATGTTGTTTTGAAGATGATATTCTTTCAATAGACTTTAACGATCAGGCTGTTATTAATGCTATGAGAAATTTGAAATGTTACAAATCCCCGGGTGATGATGGTATCCCAGCAGAATGTTTTAAAACTGCTGAAGGTGTCCTTGTGCCATATTTAATTATAATCTTTCATAAGATATTACACACTGGATACTAACCTACATCTTGGTCTACTGGATTATTATGCCACTACATAAAAAGGCCACTAATCCGAATAATTTTAGAGGAATTTTTATCAAATGTGATAAGCAAAATTTTTCTACAGCTTTGAATAAAAGACTGGAGTATTATTTAGAGTTCTGTGAACTGGTTGGTGAATAACAAAAGGAGGCTTTAAAAGGATCACTCGACTGTTGACAGTATCTTTATTTTCAGGCTATTGTTCAGAAATATATTACTCGTAAAGGAGGTAAACTATATGTTGCTTTCATAGATTTTTGTAAGGCCTTTGATATGGTAAACAGGCACAAATTATTATATGTTCTTTTACAAAACGGAATCCATGGTAATTTTTTTACTTTGATACAAAATATGTACAGAAATGCTTAAAGCCACTGTATCTTATGATTTTGGTAGAAAATTAACTGAATATTTTGATAGCTCCTGTGGAGTTCGTCAAGGTTGTGTCCTCAGCCCTGTGCTGTTTTCTTTGTTCATTAATGAACTCAAACTGTCATTAGAAAATAAATTTCAGGACGGTATATTTATATCCGAAAATATGTTAAACTTTATTGCACTGTTGTTTGCAGATGATCTGATTTTGGTTGCTGACTCTGTAGTTAAACTTCAGCGTCATCTTGATGCTTTAAATATGTATTCTTACAAATGGGGTATGGATATTAATTAACATTGATAAAAGTAAAATTATTGTTTTTAAGATGGGTGGCCCTCTATCAGAGCATGAAAAATGGCTGTATAATGGTACACCAATGGAAACTGTGAATGTCTATAAGTATCTTGGTCTTATGGACGAGAGCATGTAAAAACCTCTCTGAACAACCTAGTAAAGCACTTTGGCCTGTTAATTTATTGATAAGGCGGTATAATATGTGCTTTTCTGATGCTTTCTATATTTTTGATAAGAAGATTGTTCCAATTCTTACATATGGCGCTGAGATCTGGGGTTTTCAAAAAAGAGAGAATATTGAAATTATCCATCGTAAGTTTTGCAAATTCGTGTTACAAATTGGTTACAGATCTCCTAATGCTGTTGCTTATGGGGAAAGCGGACGACCCCATCTGTCAAATGTCTACTTTGTAAAATGCATCAAATATTGGATAAGATTATTACACATGCACCCAGATAGATACCCTTATCAATGTTATCGATTTTTATTGTCAATTGAATCTAGAAAACGCCCAACACGGGCAAGTTATGTAAAGCATTTATTGTTTAGACATGGGTTTGGAATTGTATGGAACACACAATCTGTTGGTGATCCAAAGATATTTATATGTAAATTTATTGAAAGAATTAACGATTGTTTCCACCAAGAGTGGCATTCATCTCTTCTTGACAGCAAATCACTGTGCTTTTACTACTCTCATAAATCTTTGCTGAACTGTGAAAAATATCTCCTGTCTAATATTAGTAATGATAATAAACGTATTTTTACAATGTTTAGATCAGGATGTAATATACTCGGTATTCAGTTAATCAGGGAAGGTCTTGCTACTGTCAATGACAATGTTGCATTATGTAAGCATTGTAAAGCTGTTGAAGATGAAGCTCATGTTATATACAACTGCAAGTTTTATGAGAGTTTTCGGCAACATCTTATTCCAAAAACAACAAGTGGACACAACGTCTCCATTCAAAGTCTCTGTACATCCGTAGAAATTAATATCATTAACAACTTTGTGAAATATTTGAAATATGTTTATTCTGAGAAACATTGTTAGCAAACACGTTTCTTCGATCCCATACTATGTACTCATTTGGTAACTCAAGAACCATACTATGTATTATTTTTTATATTGTAGGTCGTATTGTCTATATGCAAATATGTCCAAAGACATCAAGTGGGCATTACGTCTCCATTCAGTCTCTATACATCTTCTATGTACATCTTTGGATACATCCACAGATTGTTACTCGTTTCTTCGATCCATAATATCATTAACATTTTGTACTATGTTGTAACTCTGTGAATTTTCTATTAGTTTTAAATACGTTAACTCTGAATTTTCTATTTTTAAATGTCTTAACTCTGCGAAGATTGTTAGCAAACTCGTTTCTTCGATACATACTATGTACACATCTGGTAACTCAACAACTATATTATGTACTATGTTGTACTGTAGGTTGTATGGTCTTGTATGCAAATATGTTTAAAGTCATCAAGTGGGCATTACGTCTCCAGTCAAAGTCTCTGTACATCCTCTGATATTAATATCATCAACAACTCTGTGACATATTTGAAATACGTTTATTTTGCAGAACACTGTTAGCAAACTCGTTTCTTCGATACATACTATGTACACATTTGGTAACTCAATAACTATATTATGTACTATTTTGTACTGTAGGTCGTATGGCCTCACAAGCAAATAAATCGCTCTCTCTCCGGTTCTGGGTAATCAGTTCACGGCTGGGTGGGTGGATGGAACGAGAGATATGGTTCCCCCGGGGGGAGGGGATAAAGAGATATGTTAAGCGTCCCTAGGAGGTACTGTCCAACATTCATGCTGTCACAGTCTACTGGTCTACCGCTTCGGGCAGGCACAGATTCCATGCAGATAAAAAACCACAACAACACTGTGAAAATGCAGTTCTACCAGTACGATATATCGATTTTTCTATTAAAAGTCATTCAATCGTTTTTAATAAAAAAATCGAATGTCAATAATACGATATTAAGGAAGCACAAAGCCATGTGATATGTTATATATGCAATATGAATTGCATTGTGACAAAGGTGACGTTGCCCTACGATATGCTGTTGGCACGTCGTTGCATGAGACACCAACAACTTGGTGACACTGATATACCACATAAAACATCAGCTCACACACTGGATCACACTGGATCACACTGGATCACATGTCACATGTGTTGAACAGGAGTGTAGAAA